GATCTACATGTTTATCTTCAGTTTCCACATAACCAGTCTGTTTCCACTACACAGAATATACATGCCTTTGGTGACGGCATAACAGAGTAAGTATTCATAATCCTATCAGGGTATTCCTCTCGGATTTTTGAAATAAGGAGCGTTCCCATTCCAGAGCCAGTTCCTCCTCCTAGAGAGTGTGTGAGCTGGAACCCCTGAAGACAGTCGCAGTTCTCACATTCCTTCCTGACAACATCCAGCACAGTGTCCACAAGTTCAGCGCCTTCTGTGTAATGACCCTTGGCCCAGTTATTTCCTGCCCCACTTTGTCCAAACACAAAGTTATCAGGGCGGAACAACTGTCCATATGGACCAGCACGAACTGCATCCATTGTGCCTGGCTCTAGATCCAGTAAAATAGCACGTGGAACATACTTGCCACCTGTTGACGAAGTTGCAACTGAAAATTAAAACAAATTCTCAATTAGATCCTTAATGAAGAGTTGTCTCATTATAAGGTCTTTGGCCTCTGGTTTTATATACTGGACCAATGGTACAGTGTTTTGCTGTAATGTTTGTCAGAGAATAATAAAAACAAAGTTAAAACTGTTCAACAAAAGTGAAATTCATCTGCCTTGAAAATGGCAGAGGATTGTGTTAAATGTTTTTCTTATGGGATGCAGAACCCCAAGTGCACCTAAATTTTTATCTCACCTGCGTTACAAACCTGAGAAAATCTGTTCACTGGTATGAACATTCAAAACCGCATTACAGCCTAAACTATTCATTTTTGTTTTAACCACGTCATAATTCTAAATGTATGTAAATGTAATTAACTTTTTAAACAAATTGAAATGTACAAATCGATGTTTACCTGTGTAAAGAAATGTATATATATTTGCATTTTCGTGGCTTATTCTATTAAACATTATAAATTTCAATGTGCTAATAGATAGACTAAATTTAATGCAATCGTGCACAAAATTAACAAAATTTTAAATACTTTGCCATTAAGATCAACAGAGTTTCTGTTACATATTGCTAATTGGTTACCTAATACATATTTTACAAAAGCTCTTAAAATGCTATATTTAGATTATTCTGTGTCAGGCCTGAAGATCAAGATAAATGTTTTATGATTTGGACATATGAACCAAGGCTCTGTTTTGATTCATGCCATAATTTGGATGCTCCGTGCATAAGCCGTATATGACAGATAACTAATTATATCATATACAGAATTGGAGGGGGGGAAGAGCATGACATCATTAGGAAATACATGACCAATTTAGGATGCCAGAAGAGAATGTATTTGGCAAGACAAGAATGACTCACAATAAAGCTAGGGACATCACACTGCAAAGCAAGTCCAAATGAGCTAACAATGTGACAATTAACTGTACTTTACGTTCCACATTCTTACCAGATGCCTCATTGTAGTACACACTAATTCTTTCCAGCTGAAGATCTGAGGTACCTTTGTAGGTACCAGTAGCATCAATGCCGTGTTCATCAGATATGACTTCCCAAAACTGTAACAACAAATAAATACATTAATATGATACACTTTTATTCATTCTATGCACAAAGTACGTCAAAAGAACACATTATTCATGTCTGTCTGTCCTCAATCTCTATTTAACAGGCATCTGTTGAATGTGGTACACAGGGTCCTATTTATTTATAGTTTATTTAACGACACTTTTTCAGCATCTCAGACTATATGAAGAGGGTATGGAAGGAAGCGAACGTGGCCTAATTTAAGGCACTATACTGGCATTTTCCTGGAGGGACTGAGGAAATACATGTAAAACCTCGGTCAGGATAGTCAGTCTCCGGGCCGAGATTTGAACACGGGACCTCCCAAATACGAAACAGCTCTCAAGCTTGATGATGTAGCAGTAAGCTCCTGTGAAACGTCAGTCTACCAGAAAATGGCCACGTGGGAACCTAAAATATCATGCGAAGAAAAGTATGTTTCTTTTCTAGAAGTCATTGACTATACGCTGAGTAGAGGCAAACTGAGGTGGACGTCGGAGTTCGATTTCCGACAAGGGCGGATGCCGACGTACCGATGATTCTTTCTGCGGGGTAGAACGATCGAAGTGTAGAACTTACACCTTCATTTCCCTGCTCATCTTCATAGAATAAAGATGCTTAAAATTAAAGAGAACCGAAATAATTTATTTATCTCTTAGCAACATTGTAGGTTACGTAGCGTGGAAATTTCGTAACGTGGATCTTGACATCGTCATTACTAAAACTACAACTAAATAAATAATACACATGGGATGTGAACTATGTGAAAAATGATAGGTCAATGGGATTTCTCACTAAAATGCTTTTATCCTACAAGTGAACCGTGACCACTTAAGGCCGGTGTAACAGCTGTTCCATTTTCTCGACGCAGATGTCTTCAAATTACATCACGTGCTCAGATGACATTCCCATACAATCGAACAGGATGTGCTGTATGACACTGCTGGAGCACTGAGGAAGCAAGCAGTCCATAGGGAAATCCGTCCTTTGTCAAAGTCAGAATAAAATGCAGTAGACTACAAATTAGCTTCCCCCCTCCCCGTTAAAAATTTACGTCGTTTTTCAAACAATAGCCTATGTATAATCTACATGTTATGCCCGGTATATTACGTCAGCATGAAGCCAATAATATAAGTCAATATCAAGATAAACATAACATAACTACATAATTTTACAATTTACTGTTTCATATTGAATTTGAACGTTGGTTGAAACACTTACTGGCAATCAAACAGTGGAAATTAAATGTCATAGGTAGGAACAAGGCAGGCCACGGTAGGTTAATTTACAAGTTTCAAGAATAATGTTCCCCCTTAAGACATTATGAAGTGTCCTTTGCTTTTTTTAAAAAAACATCCGGACGGAAGTTTGGTTCATTCGAGAAGACTAGACGGTCAATGCAAAGAGAAGCAAGTTAACAATCCTGTAGTTACTAAGCACGTGTCAATTACGTAATCCGAGGGCAAAAGCGCCTATGCAACCCGCATTACAAGGGGTCACACGATTATCACGCACTTTTCTGTGACCATGTGCACTGTCTCGTCTCGGTGAACAGACTGTAGTTTCATGTTCTTCGAAGAAATGATAAATGTATCATGTTCGTTTCCCTTTGGATTTTAATAGCCATTAAACTTCTTAGTCAGATTTATGAAATGACTGAAATATTAACTAGCGGTTTGTGAAACCGAACAGGCTATTTTCCTTTCCGTAATTACACTTTATTTTGAAGGAGTGGCAGGAGAGTTCGGGATAAATTTGGCTAGCATGTTATGAAAACCTCAGCATCGATGGCACTCGAGTCCCATGCCAGATGCAAATCGTTCTTTTATGAGTAATTTTATATCCTGTCACGTACATGCACGCACGCACACTCATTGATTCATCCACACAGAACTCATTACTCGCTCTACTGAGTGATATTGCAACAATTTGTTTTCTGTCACGCCGAAAGAGTTTGAGATTTTTACGTGGGGATTAAAAAGTTATTTGCCCTTTTGCTATAATGAGTAAAATTTAATATTTTTTCCTTATTTAAGAGACCCTACAGTTTGTAACTAAGTGCTGTTCCCACACAATTGCCATGTTCTCTCCCCAGTGCCCGTCCTGTTTTGAGATGCTAGCAAGAGCTGCGAAAACCTTCGAGCATATAAAATGTTTCGGGCGATTTGCTGGAAAATTTGGGTAGGTACTGTAGAAATTTTGTAATTGAAAATTTGAATTCGAAAAAAAAAAAGAAAAAAAAAGATGCAGTTATTACTTTGCAAAATATTTCCATTCCTATTGGAAGGGAATTTTTTGTGTAATCGTGTAAATCTTTTATCCGCGTGGTCATGAGTACTGCAAGCAAAGAAAGTGAAGGGCGAAAGAGAATTCATTGGAAAATTATTTTAGAAAAGGAGTCGCGGATTCTGCTTTATGCAGGCAGGATATAATCCTTTGCAGCTCACCAGAACAGACGTCAGAACTCGCCGAGTTAACTTCTAGCTGTGGAAGATTCTGTTTTAATAACGTTTTGAAATGCATCTCTTTCCTGGCGGAAATACACTCACGGCCTGGGACTCCGCCCTCGGTCACATATGGAACAGGCCGTGAAACAGAATGCTGGCTTTTAATGGGAAAACCAAATGACGTTTGAGACATTCATCCCGTTGACTCCCTACATTCCTGGAGTTGACAAACGACGTCTGGCGTTCATCTCTCTCTCCAGGCAACAGAGACCAAATGCTTATTTTAGCCGCGCTTGCGTGTTTCGAAAAAAAACAGTTGGAACTCCACTAACTGAACATGCAACAACGACTCACAAGTTTAGTATTTTCTCGTGCCACTATTTAACAACGCCTGGCTTCTATTTAAAAATTAAAGTGGCGTATGTTTCATAAATGTACTCCAGTGTCGCTCCCCACACTTCTTAACGCTAAATTTAGATGTCTTTACACAATTCCTCCCTCCTTACCTACCCAACCGAGCTTCTCGTCATCATAAAAGGTGAAACAATTTATGGTCGCGTTTGAAAGCTCAATTCAAGTCAGGTCAGTGATACGTATCTTGAACCTCGTTATCGTAAGAAACTTACTTCAGTAATGAAGATGGAGGTCGAATGTTCTTCTGAAACGTTGGTGTACAACAAGAAGACCAAAATCAAAACACGCCAGAATGAAAACCTTAATTCCTACATCGCAGGACCTTTGCTTGTAGCACCGACCTTCAGACAAAACTCAAAATCAGGAACTTAAAATAACTCCTGAATATCACGGTCTCAGGGCCGAGATTTCAACACGAGACCTCCCAGATATGAAGCATGAGTGTGAAAGTATCCGTTTCCAAATTGCATGCTTCAAGGTCAAGGAAGGATCTCACCACCACCACCACCACCACCATCCCTCTTACCACGCAGCTCTAAATCACCAGGAGAGAGTTGCTAGCTTTGCTACTTTGCGAGGTCTGATCTGTCTTCACTCATTGGTGTTGCTGTGCCCTTGACTCGACACTGATGTTCGGATTAAGTTTGTGTGTAGTCACAAACAGGATTTGACATTTTGAAACGATCTCAGAGTAAACGATTTTTCAGTCCAAGTTTTCGTATATTCTGGTTTATCCTTTCGGAAGTCCTGAGCTAACCTGACAGCTCGACTTAGATCACTGTTGCCTTCAAAAGGGGAAGTGCAGTTTATCTTCATCGAAAAGAATTGTCTAGCGGCTGTTGCCTGCTGACACGTACTTCGTTTGTTTTGTGTCCTCACGACCCCACAATCCTCAGCTGTATTTAGAAACAAAGAAGTACAAGATCCTACTGGAGCCGTGGACGATTCACCGGAACTTCCATTATAAAACCACATTCCATACACGTCGTCTTTCAGCCATCTTATCTATCATGCTTCTGTGTGCTCACGAATTTGTGATGAAATGCATATTATGTACACAGCACGTCTCATGTACCCGTTTCTACAAGGAAATAAGATATTAAGAGTACCTCAAAAATTATGACAACACAAGAAATGGCTGACAAAAACAATATTAACTTCCCCCATTAGTTCTGCGTTGAGTAGAGACACATTTAACATGATTGCTACTTTGAAATTTGAATTCAAGAAGGGCAGCGATTTGTGATCTGATGCTGTGGTCAGACTATCAATTTGAATTCAAGAAGGGCAACGATTTGTGATCTGATGCTGTGGTCAGACGGTGAAAACTAGACATATAAATGATTCCAGTTCAGTGCAGCTTTGTGTGTAATCAATCGTATTAGACCAGAGGAAAGTTTACGAATGGGTAGAGCTTCAAAGAAATGCGGGCAGGTATTCTTCACCCTGTCACAAGTTCCATCAAATTACTTGTATTTTTCTTTAATTTGGCAGACCTGATTGGTCTTACATCCCATTGCTACGACAATAAAAATGGTGTCCGTCGCCAGGTATCTTTCTTATGACTCCAATACACAAAATTACCTACAGTATGAGCACACACATACGTGCTACATAATTATTTCGCATTGCTTTTCCGAGAATCTGAGATTTACTTATTCGCCATATTTGCTACAACAGACAAAACATTTTACGTAAGCAAAAAGAGGTTGAGTGAACCTGTGACATTTTTAATTAACGCGTTCACTAGAAATAGTTAATGTAATTTAGTGCATATAACGTTGCGCAGTGCTATACTACCAGGGTATGAGTTAGCGTCTTCGCCTTGAAATGCCTTCCACTTCACAACTTTTGACAATCTATATTTGGTGCGCCCCCAGTATTCATTCCAACATCCTTTGAAACCGAAGCTGATCCATCTTTAAGGAGTTGGGGCGTCATTTAAAACACACTTACAGCCATTCTCATGAGGTGTTTATGTTTCTTTGCTACTTTGGAACAAAAGCAAAGATGTGTAAATTAAGTTTAATGTCAGACACTAGCAGAGAGAGTAGGACACCTGTTGAAACATTCATGAGGACAGTTCATCGCACCGTTAATTTTTAACTGGGAATCAGGAGACGCCGAAATTC